GAGGGGCAGGGTGGTGTGTCCCGGCAGGCCCACAGATCAGGCCACGGATCAGGCCACGTAGGGGAAGCGGAGCAGCAGCCCCTCGTGGGGCTCCAATTTCAGGTGCTCCAGCTCAAGAGAGGCGCCCTCCTCGCGGCCCGGCTGGGTGCTGAGCAGCAGATCGACCCTGGCGGGCAGGCCGGAGGCCCCCAACTGGGCAGGTTGGCCCACGTCCCCGAAGTTGAGCACTACCAGGAACCGCTCGTTCTGGTCCCACTTGCGGACGTAGGAGAAGAGGCTGGGCCCCGAGGGGAGCACGTGGAAGTCCCCGTGTAGCAGGGAGCGCTCCTTGCCGCGGTGGTCACTCAGCCGCCGGAACAGGGCAAGGAGGGAGCCAGGGTCTTCGCTCTGGCCCTGCAAGCGATGGAGACATAGCAGGAAGGGATGAAGAGCTCCCCTGGCTGCAAACTCCTACAAGCCACCGGCCCGTCCGCTGCTCAGGCCCTGCCCCCCGAAAACCGTACCTTCACAGTCATGTTGGAGCTCACGGGTCCCGAGGTGTTGAGGGAGCTGGACTCATCCCACAGCATGACCGGGGCCTGCTGGGGCTGGAAGGCAGGGAAAACAGGACTTGGGAAAGGCTGGCCCACTCCCCTGACTCTTCCTCCTGCCCCCCCACCCCCTGGCAGGCCCTCCCGCCCTCACACCTAACTTCCACTGGGAGCAGCAAGGCCGGCTCCCACCTCAGGTCCTTGCACCGACCCTCGGCCAGAGGGCTCTGCTCCCAGACAGCCACGAGCCAGCTTCCTCCCTCCCCCGAGCCTCTGCTCAGCTGTCTCACAGGGTTCCCTGTGGCCACTCAGAAGACATAGCAGGCTTCCTTCTGCGGAGCACCCACAGCACCCCCGGCCCTCTGTGCACTGCTCTCTCCTCCAGGCACGTAAGACTTCGGGAATAAGGGAATGACCGGCTCTATAAGTACCAGCTCAGGGGTCAACCTCCACGCCTGCGGCTAGAGCTCAGCAAGTGCCTTCCTGGTCTTACCCCCACCCCACATTCACTGCCAGGCTCTTCTCTCTCACCTGGCTCCCCCACTAAACTAGGAGAGCCCAGCAGAGCACCCACTGTCCAATGAGTGAGTGAGTGAGTGAGTGACACTGGACACTACCAGGTACGACATTGCATTTTAAAGTAGCCGTCACTTTACACAAACCGCCCTACAAGAGAGGCAGCCTCACAGACCAGATGACCGGGACCGTGAGACGTGAAACCGCTGACCACGGCCACACAGCTACCGACCAGGTGACTGACTAGGAAACAAACGCAGTTCCCACCCCCCACCCCCCCGCCAAGAGTCACGCCTGTCCGCGGCATCCACAGACTACCCTGGCGGATAAACACAGCTCCCCCACTGCGCCGAGAAGGCGGCACGGAATACCTGTCCGGGAAGGGCAGCTGCCTTCAGGCCGATCTCGTCCCCATAGCTGAAAACCGGGGTCCCCGGCAGGGTGAAGAGCAGCAGCTGGTAGAGTCGGAGGAGCTGAGCCGGCACGAAGGAAGTCAGGAGTCCCTTCTGAGACAGACTCCAGCTGCACCAGCGACTGTCGTTTGTCAAATGCGAGCGGGTGGCATTTAGGAACTGGGTGACCAGGAGTTCTACATGCTCCCCAGTGAAAGGGGAGGCCGACAGGTACGAGCTAGTCAACAACAGGTCGTTGTTCGATTCGAGCAGGCTCACGATCTCCTGGAGGTTGGAGGACTTAGTTCCTGCCAGCAAGAGCCTGCAGAGAGCAAAGCCGAGGTCAAGGGCGGTACAGGACAAGAAAGGAAGTGAGGAAGGCGTGTGAACTAGGAACTCCCCCTTCCCAGGGCCTAGCACCCCACTGAGGGGACCCCCGACGGAGCTAAGTTGGGGACAAGGGGCCTGGCACTCACCTGTCTTCACCGAAGCTCTTGGTGATGTTCTGCCACTCGGCCAACAATAAAGGCGCATTCTAGAAGGCAAAAAGCAGAGGCAGCTACCACCCGGCCCTGGCGAGTCCCGCTGCTCTCATCGGGCGAGGCTGCACCTCTCATGTAAAGGAAGCTCACCTTCAGGTTCTCCACGTCCCGAACCTGGAACCCATCCACACCAGCCTGCAGCCAAAATCTCAGCGCATCCTACGGGCGGGGGGAAGGACAGAGGAAAGACAGTGACACTGATGCTCACAAACTCCCGCCCCCACGGACCCTGCCTGCCAGGTGCTTCCTCATGTTCCCACCTCCACTATAAAGGTTTAGCCCTTCCTCCCTCCCATTCTAACCGACCACCAATTCTCTTAGTGATATAGCATCTCATTTCTCTTCTCCAGCCATGGCTTCACTTTTGAGGAGGCCCAAGAGAGAAAGTGTGTTCATAACCATAACTTCACTTAAACTTAGCGTGTGTGGAATGCTGGTGTACCCATTTCAGAGACGGGGAAATAGTCTCAAAGAAGCAGGAGGCATGCCCAAGGCTCAATAAGCAAGTAGCAGAGGCGGGACTCAAACAGCAGTCAAAATCCCACAAAATCCCAAGACAAATGTACCGACGCCTCTCCCAGTGTCCTGAGGCCTAGGAGTGGTGCAAAGGGCTGTCGGTCAGGGCAGAGCTGTCAGGACAACCCAAGGATGGAAGACTGAAATGCAAAGCATCCCCCCCGGGCAGTTTCCATGAAGATTTGGGATGAGGAGCCGGTTCTGCAGGACAGGCCCAGGCCTGAAGCCCTGGCGTGTGAGGCACAGAACACAAGCCCCATTGCCACTGCCTGTCTTCCCTTTCCTCTCTGCTCCACGTGCTCCCTCCTCTGCCTCCATTTTCTCCTGAAGCTACCATCTTCATCTCCTCACCATCCGAAAGCTTCCCTATCAGTAACGCTTACAGGGTCTCCCAGCAACTCGCTGGCGGGTGAACTGGAGGACTCCAAGGGTCCTAGGAGAACAGATCCTACCCCAGAGTCAGGGCTGCCAGCCAAGTGTGAGGGGCGCCTCCACTTCTGTTCTGCCCGTTCTGAACTGGCCGGTGTCCCAGAACCAGAACTCGGGCATTAGGAGCCTGGGTGACACTCACAGCTCCTCCCCAGCCTGAGGGCTATAGAGCCTGAGCCTATAGCTTCAGGGAAGTCGTATTAGAGAAATGAGGTTACTTGGACCTCAAGTCCCAGGAGCATTGAACCTTCTGAATCTTAGTGTCCCCGTGTGCAGTGTGGGGGTAATGATAGGGACCTTATGTGGGTACAGAGGGGATTAGAAAACATCTATAAAATACTTGGCATAGCCCTAACCAGTTTGGCTCAGTGGATAGAGCGTCGGCCTGCGGACTGAAGGGTCCCAGGTTCGATTCCGGTCAAGGGCATGTACCTTGGTTGCGGGCACATCCCCAGTAGGGGGTGTGCAGGAGGCAGCTGATGGATGTATCTCTCTCATCGATGTTTCTAACTCTCTATCCCTCTCCCTTCCTCCCTGTAAAAAATCAATAAAATATATTTTTTAAAAAATACTTGGCACAGTCTCAGACACAGGAAGATCCCCACGTTTGTAATTTCAGACGGGGCTGCACTTCAAAACATCAAACAAGGACTGGGAAACCAGTCCGGACAGACTCCCACTGAGAAGCCTTCCTGAAGCTCCCTTCCTGGCACAGTCACCATCAGAGTCGAGGAAACAGGAAAAATGAGTGGACAAAAAGGAGCAAGCTAAGCCGGGTGCACGGCTGGCCTCCGTGGGGGGAGCTCGCCTGCTGGGCTGCAGTTTTTTTTGGGGGGGGGGGGGGGCTGGGTTTACTACAGGGGCTGCCGTGCCTGCAAGGACCCCCCACCCGCCATCGGCACCCGCACACTCACCGTGATGTTGGTGGCCACAGCGTCCATCTGAGCGGGGAGGAACCATGAGTCCTGGCCCCTGTAGTTGGGAGTGAGGTCCAGAAGGACCTGGATGCCTGGGACAACGGAGGGAGAAGCAGGTGTTGAGAAAGGCTTTGGGGTGGGGAGAAAGGAGGAAATCAACACATACCGGTCCATAGAGTAAATCAACACATACCGGTCCTATGTATTACTTGCTACAAAAGCTTAGGTTTGAACCCTGGCAAATCTCAGTCCATTGAAACAGAGACACGAGCAAGATGCGGCCTTGAAATCTCATAGGGCAGCAGGTTAAGTGTGAACTGAGAAGGCTGAGCGATAGGGGCCTGGGCTTCCCGCCCCAAGGTGAACCCTTTTAAAGCAAGACAAGATTTTATCTGGATTTTCATTCCAAGTTTAAAAACCACCAACTTAGTAAAAGCCCTTTTTGAAAACATCGGCACTGAAGCCCAGAAGTGAAAGGTCTGCACAGTCAAGTGGAAAGTCCCTGAACAAATCCCTTTAGGCCGAGGCTTCCCCAACTCCTCTGTCCCTGCTGGGAAGCTCAGAGGCAGCCAGGAGCGAGGCAGACAAACCCTCCCCTGCCTTCCCCGGCCAGAAGGCCAAGCCCTTGCTCGCTGCTCCCTTGCCAGGACCGGGACCCCCCAGAGGCACCCACCCTTTTTCTTGGCCGACTGCAGGAGACCGTCGAAATCTTCCTTGGAGCCAAAAGCGGGGTCGATCTCCTCCAAGTTGGTCCCATGGACGTCGTCTCTCTGGGTTTTGTGAATGGGGCCCAGCACGAGGCCCTTCACCTTCAGGGAGCTCAGGTGATCCAGGCGCCCCTTCAGGCCTGCAAAGGGGAGGGAAGAGGCCCCCGGAGGCGGGTCGGAGACGATCCCCTCCCCCGACCCCCTCCCCCAGGGCTCCGTGCGGAGGCTGAGCAGCTGATGTAAGGGGCCTAGCACGTTGCTTCAGATCCCGTGGCTACACGAGGAAGGGAAGAGGCTGAGTCAACTAACCTCGTGAAAGAGGAGGGAGGGAGGGAAGGGAGGAAACTCTTTGAAGAAGGGCAGGAGGCGCTACGTCCCAGGCAGCGGCCTCGACCGGGTGGGGTGGAGAACCGTCCGAGTCCAGAGAGGTGGAGGTGGGGCCCCAGCGGCTCCCCGGGGAA